CTCCTGCTCCTCCTCCTGCGGGAAAGCGTTTGGAGCCGATGCTGCCGGTGCCCTGGCCGACACCGTAGCCACCGCAGACACGGCAGCGCTTCTCGTGGCGGCGGCAGCGGCGGCGACGGGCGCGCGTGTGCCCGCCAGTCCGGCCGCCGATGAGCCCGTCGCTCGCTCCGACAACCCGACCTCGCCGCGCCAGCCGGTGGCGCCGTGGACGGAGCAGGAGGACGCAGCCATTCGCGCGGGCGTGCTGCAGCACGGGACCAAGTGGCGGAACTTCCCCCTGCCGGGGAGGTCGACTGACGCGGTGCGCGGCCCGAGAGTAGCAGAGTGCCGGGGCGCTCTCTCTTGAGGCCTCCGCCCTGCATCGCTGCGGCGTCCCTCCTGTACGTCCCTTCAAGCACCGCTCACGCGCCCCCTCCGCGGTCGGCACAGGTGCGCAACCGATGGGGCCGGCTGAAGGAGAGAGACACGGCGGACGCAGGGCTGGGCGGCGAGGGTGCGGCGGGATGGGACCACGCCAGCCAGGAGGCGCCCTCGCGTGGCATGGCGACAGCATCGGATGTGCCAGCGCCAGCTAGCGACGCGGACCCTGTGGAGGTGAGGTCGACAGTGAGCCGCGCGAAAAAGGGGGCACCAATCCTCAAAGCAACAGCACCCGCGGCCGCGCACGGACGGAACCTCCGAAAGCGATTGCGCTGAGTGCGGTGCACGTGCCGCGCTGCCGGCTCGCGTCCTTTCGCTACACGTGTTTCGTCTAGAAGTTCTTTTGTATGCTTGTTGTGAGCAGTTGCGCGGACCGCTCCTGTAATCGTGTGCTATCCAAATAAAATCTCTATTTGCTCCACACACATCTCGCCCCGGCAAGTTGATGTTGTTTTCGAGTCGTCTTCTCTGGGCCGGCGCGGGGCCCCCCGGAGGCACCATGCGCCGTGCAGCAGTGCGGAAACGGGGCTCCGGCTCCGCTAGTGTCAGCTAGCACCGACTTCCCGATTAAGCTAGGTTAATCAGAGGGCAGATTTGGAGAGATCTCGAGGAGTACATACAGATAGACCCTCTAACCATAAGATAACTCTAACCTGAGCGGTCGTACTGACCGCCGACAGATCACTCCAGACAGCAGACAGGCCGACGTCTGCACGCGGCCGGCCGGGCGAGAGGCTTGACACGATCCGACCCTGCGACCCTGACGCTGCTGCTCTAGCTATCAGACATGCATTGCTGACTGCTGCCACAATGTGCGACCTGTGCTGGCCCACTTGGCGGCCTTCCCGGTCAGTGGTGAGGCGCAGTTCAGAGCTGTCGATGGCGCGATGCACTGGTCCCACATTGGTGACACGATACCACCAAGTTTGCCGGTCCAAGAGAGAGGCACCGGCGCTGTCCTGAGAAGGTGCGTGGTCCCTCTTGACTGCCCATGCGCGCGAGGCTGTGTAGGCATAGCCTCGAGAGTGCCAGAGCCAGTCCAAGGCAGTTTGTGACGCGCATTGCGTCAGAAGCGTGCACACGATGGAAGGACACCTTCCTACTGGCCGTACGATCAGGTCGTCACTGAATGCTTGATACTAAGGCCGCGAGCTATGCAGGTGATCAATTGTGCATCATGGCACGGTCAGCAGCGCCGACAGGCTGTCGCAAGGCGTGATAGCATGGCCGCAAGTCGCCGATTTCCCATGAAAACAAGTAAAAAATCGCCAAAAAAAGAAGAAAAAACCTGAAAAAATCGGCGCCTGCGGCGGGCCATGGGGCCCCATCCCCCCCCCGCATGGACACCCTCTGGGGCCCCCGGCCCCGCGCCGGCCCAGAGGTCGTCTTGAGACACCTTCTGCGTCGAGTTTTGTCGTGCGCGATTTGGCGGCGTCACGCGGCTTGAGGTGCCTCTGTCAGTCTTTTCGTGCAGAGCCCATGTCGCACGTTTGATGAGCTCTATCTACCCTTGTTGGTGATGCTGTCCTCCCCCTGCAACGCCGGGTGCTGGTAGAGGATGCCGAAATGGTCCCTCTTGGCCGGGCTGCGTGTGCTGGCGCCGAGGAGCAGGTATCGGTGTGCGTCGGGGTGCCTGCGAAGCGAGCGGGAGGGCTGTGTTGCGCGGTCAGCCCACGCGCTGCAACTCTCCCAGTCACCTCTCGAGGTTGATGTCGATTGCGACACCAGTCTCGTTGAAGATGCGGTCGGCTGGCAGCTCGCGCAGCAGCTTGCGCGCGTGCCTAAGACGCGGTGCCAGGCAGCCTAGGCAAGGGCCTAGCTACCGCACATGGGCAAACTCACGGCGTGCCTCTTTTGCAACGCATAAGCGGTGGTGCAGTAGCCGCGGCACCGCCCGGCGGCGAGCCGCGGCGCGGTGCGCGGCGCGAAGGGCTGCTGCGAGATCTGTCGCCGCCAGTAGTCGCGCCACCGGGTCGGGTAGCCCAGCCGAGATACCGGCCCGAGGGGATCCCCTGGGGCTCCGGGGGTCGGGGCGGAGGCAGTGGGCCGGCACAGCGCCAAGTAGACGAGCGGGGCGTTTGCCAACTCGGCGTATCTGAGTCCGGCGTCGACAACGTCAGCAAACCTTCCCGGCTGTAGATCTGGGTGGATGTCCACGTCATCCTCGAGGATCAGCCTACAGGCTCGAGGTCTCGAGATCGAGAGGCGTGGTGCGCTCGCGTCCTCCCAGAGCGCGCACCCCCACGCGTCCTCCGCCACCTCGGCCCGACGAACGATACGCCGCCAGGCGTCAAAGTGCGACTTCGATAGGCAGTCATCCGCGCCCCTCTTACGCGCGCCCTCGCGTTTTCGCACTACGGGCCTGAGCGGTGGCAGCGGGCACCCCGTTGCCGCCGGCGTTGCCGCCTCCACTCGCTCAACGGGCACGCGCGGCAAGAGGAGGGGGGCGATGGCGGCCTCGACGTGGCGCCGACGCGAGGTGTGCTGTGCCACGTTGATATAAAGAGCCAGCGCGGGCCGCGTCCCATTGGGAGGGAGGCAGGTCGGGCCAGGATGATCACCGCCCACCCACGGAGGATCCAGTAGCAGACTCGACTCGAGCTGCGGCAGCGTGCACACCAGCGGCCTTAGTGATGATTGTGGGAGGAGTTGGCGGAGCGTCTCCATGGGTGTTGCCTAAGGACGGGCGCCGAACATTGGCTGCTCAGAGTGCGTGCGGCCTTGCTCTTTGGCGCGAAAGGGACGCCCGTAAAGCTCAGCTTTTTCTTTGAGCTTACTCGCTTCAAAGATATTAATATGGCGTACAGGCCAAAAAATATCGGATAAAAAGATGGGGTGCCCACAGGACCCAAGAAAAGAAAAGAAAAATGGGCCACCGCCGATCGCAGCACTTCGTGTTGGCGAGTCGAGATATTGAGAGTGTGACTAGGAGGGTGGGACGCTGGGGATTCTCAAAGGTATACCCTTGGAATGGCCGGATCCAGCCTTAAAAGTACGAGATCGCGCGCGCTTCGCGCGCTGCACCGCCTATTCTCCGCGGCTGTGTGACGACGCGTGCCGTGTACCAGCAGAGTTGGGCGCGCGGCGCGACGGCGCCCGCGAGGGAAGGCGCGGGTGCAGCGGCCGCCGGCGGCCGTACCGCCCGCCAGCCGGCGCAGCAGCGGCCAGCGCAGCGGCCGCCGGCGCAGCAGCCAGAGCAGCCGGTGCGCGCCTTGCGAGGCGAGTACTGCCGCCCGGCAGCCTTGAGGCTGCCGGGCGGCAGTACTCGTTCGAACTTTGCGAGCCGTGCGCGCGCCGAGGCGCCCGCGGCGCGCGCCCCGGCTGCCAGTAGGAGGCGGCGCAATATGGCCTATAGTACAGCCCTTAGGAGGAGGAAGAGGCTGGCTGGCAGTGCTGTATGCCGCCGAGGGGCAGTTTTGGGGTGCTGACCCACGCCCAGGGGGCTGCAGAACGCGTCCGCAGCCGGGACAATTCGCCCCCCCAGCCGAGGCCGGTCGAAGCCCCCTTGACCACAGCCATGAGGAGTCCCCCTCTTGGTGCTCCTGGCGGCCGTTTGAAGGGCGGGCGCGCGCCGATGGGGGGTGGGTGTGTCTTGCTTGCTCCACACCGAGCGCCATCGGTCCGGACCGGCGTGGTCACCGAGGGTCGGCTTGCACAAGGTCTGAGCCGCGGGCGCTCGGCGCCAAAAGTGCAGTGTCACACGCTCCGCGCTGGAGCGGGTCACCAATGGGAAACCCTCGTTTCCTATGAACTCGGTCCCCCAACGGAAGAGGCCTCGCTCCTATTGGAACAAGCCAACATCAGATTTGCCTCGTGCGTCCCTTTTTGAGGCGGAAAGCTATTTTCTTTTGGGGGTCCTGTGGGCACCCTAAAAAAGAGAATGCGTTTTCTAAACCGAGCCGAAGTCCCCGTCCTCCTCCCACATCTACACATGATTAACACGCGCCTGGCCTCAGGTCGTCGCTCTCCAGCTGCTATAACCTCCCAGGCCCCGCCAGCAGCTCCCGCATTATCCGACCACCGGCCGACCCGCCCAAGAAGCTCAGCGGCGCGGACTGCGGCGGCGGCGGCGGCGGCGGCGCGCACGCGCTCTGCGGCGAGGAAGTGCGCGGCGGCGAAGAGGCCTCGACTGCGGTGTATGAGTACCTCCCGTCCGGCGAGCCGAGTGAGCGTCCCCACGAGAGGGTGAGTGCGTGGTACGACCAGCAGACGGTCAGGCTGGCGGTCAGGACGAGCGCGAGCTCGTGCGAGAGGGCGAGGCCTCCGACGAGGGCGAGGTTGAGACCGGTCGAGAAGAGTAGCCTGTCGCGAAGGCGCGGGGCGGGGTTTATGCCGCACGGGAAAGAGGAGAACCTTATCTCCCTGCTTCGTGGGTGGGTGGAGATCTACTCCGGCGTGCGTTGAGGCGTACGCGGCGTAGGTCTTTGCGTAGACGCGCGCGCACGAGGACGCCCGGTCGGGGTGCGCTCCAAACACTAACACCTCGTGCGAACGGAGACGCAGGCCGATCGAAGCGGCGTACGACACAGTCCAGCAGGCTGACGGTGTCCACCACTCGTCGGCTGGAAGCGCCCGTGCGAGCAGCCGATCGACTAGCAGCTCCCGACGTTCCCTATCGTACCCGAGACAGCGAAGCAGAGCGGCCGAGGCGTTCGATGGCCACACATTTGGCACCGCTCTGCGAGCGGTGCCACATCGTCGTCCATTCTCGCAGCTGTGTCGCTCGCCGATTCCGCCTCCCTCTCGCACGAACGGCCGTGCAATTCTTTATTTTTTCGTTCATCAGGCGAAGTTAGAAAAAAGAAAGTTAACACGCGCCCACCACGCGAACGCAGCATGAGGCTCCTTCTGATGACCTGCCCGTTGCTGCGACCCGCATCGCTGCGAGCGGTGCGCGGCCCGTTGCAACTTGCGCGGTCACCCGGCCTCGCCGCGGTCCGGCTCCAGCTCGACGGTCTCGATGGCCCGTTCGGGTCGGGCGGAGCCGAATCGCCGTTCTCGTCTGCGTCCGGCGGCGCGCCGCCCTCGGAGAAGCAGGTCGCGTACGCGCAGGCGCTCTCGCTACGCACGCAGCTTCCCATCCCACCCGAGGCGCTCGAAGACGCGGCCTCATGCTCCGACTTCATCAATGCGGCGCTCGAGCGGGTGCCTCCGACGGAGAAGCAGGTGGCGTTTGCGATGGAGCTGGCGAGCAAGGCGGGGCAGGAGATGCCCGAGGCGGTGCTAGAGTCGTCCGCCGCCTGCTCCGCCTACATCGACGAGCATCTCAAGGCGCAGGGTGGCGAGGGCGGCGGCGGCGGCAGCAGCTATGGCGGCGCCAGCAGCCGGCTGGCCGGCGCGCCCTCACAGAAGCAGCTGCTGTACGCGGCGGCGCTGGCGGTGCGCCACCGCGTCGGCCTCTCCTTCGAAGTGCTCTCCTCCAAGGTGCGGCACGCGACAGCCAGCCCGCGGCGCCGCCAGCAGCCGCACCCTCAGCCGGCCCCCTCCTCTGCCTCAGGCGGCCTGCTCCGCCTTCATCGACCAGCACTCGCAGGAGGCGCCGCCCGACTCGCCGCCGCCGCCCGCGGCCGTACCGGCGCGACGCGCCACCCCCCGACCCCTATCCGCGCACTCGGGCCAGACGCCGCTTCACTCGCGAATAGGCGCCGGAGGGAGCGTCACCGCTGTTTCGAGACGAGGACATTCCGTTCTGAGCGCTTTGGGCGGGCGCCGCTGAGGCCGCATCGGCAGCGGCGTCGTCTTTGGCGTCGTTGGCCAACGAAGCGCGCCGCGTCCGCGGGAGACGCTCGAACCGACCAGATTCAATGACTACTCCGACTTACTCTATACGTGCAGTGTGTGCGTATGTATGTGTGTGTGTGGGTGTGTGTGTGCGTGTGTGTGCGTGTGTGTGTGCGTATGTATGTGTGTGTGTGTGTGTGTGTGTGCGTGTGTGTGTGTGTGTGCGTGTGTGTGTGTGTGTGTGTGTGTGTGTGTGTGTGTGTGTGTGTGTGTGGCATGTATGTCGAGGCTTTTCGTTTACCTTACCTTACCTTACCGGCACAGCCATGGGACCGGGCCCGCAGCCGCGCAGGGGCGAGAGCTCCGCGCGCTCGCGGTGAGTCGTGTGCAGCGGGAGGCGGGAAAGGAAAAAAGATATAATTAATTCGAAACCTGAGAGAGACCTCGTCGAAGCTGTGAGAAGACGCGGAAATAGAGCGGGAAAGAGGAACCCGTGTGGTCCGGTCACACCTTACCACAGCAGAGCCCCCCCTCGCATCCCGGCCCTCGGCCGACTTCTTCCGCCTCGTCGTCCACTCGATCACATCGGGGCTTGACGAACCCTTCCACATGTTCTCGTGGTTGTGTTGCGCTCCTTCCAGGGCACCTCCGCGCCACGAACAAATTGGCCGCTGCCACACTCCGGGTTAGACACGCCGGGAGGTGCACCTTCGCCTGACAGCACGAGCATGGCGCTGGGTTTCCCCGCACGGCACCGCTTTGCCAGGACGAGGTCAGGCCACATTGACCCGATTTCGCCGATAAAGAGAGGTGCCGTCGCGGCTGCGTGAAGCTCCCGCGCATTGGCCCTGGTGCCGTACTCGCGGGACCTCTTGCCGATCTGGGTGCGGTTGCCAAGCACCGTACCCAACGTCGCGTTCGCTATGCTCCACACACGGGCGGCGTTGCGATGCAAAGTGTGGTTGTTATAAAACTCCATGTGGTTCACCTCGATGCAAGGTATCGCGTACTTTTGAGCTATGCGACGCAAGGCCTGCGCCACCAACGCCAAGGGGACGGCAGTCCAGCTCCAATGCTGCCCACGAGCGCTCATGTCCACCAGGATGGTGTCTCCTCGCAGTTGGAACGGCCGGCGGATAAACCAGTACCCACACCGGTGTGGCGGTTGCTGTGGCGGCCGCGCCCCGCCGTTGGAGCGGGCCCCGCCGAGGCGTACCGCTTCAATGGCCGCGGCCCAGGAGCTGGGCGTCATGATTGCGCGGCGTTGAGCGGCGACTCCCTTTCGAGGGCTGGAGCCGCACAGGAGCTGACCCTTGCGGCCGACCTGCGCACACGCGATTTGGGTGCCGCACAGGTCCGCGGTGGTGAAGGCGGCTGCGCCCGGCCAGCAAGCAGCCGGCGGAGTGCGCAGGAAGCTGACCCGGCCGGGCGGGACACCTGCAGGGTGGGAGCATCTCAATGCAAAATCGGTGACCTCATCCGAGGCGGCCGTCGCACCTACATGCTCGAATGCATCGAGCAGCGAGAACTGTGGGCCGGGCCCCCACCGCACGTGCTTCCTTCCTCCCTGTTCGATTGCTGCAGCCCTTGCGGCTGCCGAGCAGTCCGGGCCGGTACGTCCTGCACGCGAGCGTGATTCTGCTCGCGCTGTGCGGCAGAATTGGCCGAGGTGGTTCACCGTCTCAGCCTCCTCAACGGTTGGGGCAACGAGTTGTATCGGTCCTCGCAAGGCGCCTCCCTGTTGTCACACACACGATTGTGCGCGCTCAGGAGTGGGTGGGTACGCGGCACACAAGAGGGAACGACTTTGTACGCGCCTGCGCCAGGCTGATCAGGGTGGAGAGCTGTCGGAGCCAAGTGTGCAAGACCGCGCCGAGCGTGTCGCGCCCGGTGAGGGGGAAGTGGAAACACCAGGACGAGTTCCAGTTGGAAGGCGGCAGGCTCGTCGCAGCGCCCGTGTCTCGTGCGTCAGACAAGTCTGTAAATACATACAGTGATATAGAGCAGTCATCTCCAGGGAGAGATGGGCGACGCACACGAACACAGAGGGACAGTGCGCACCCCGCCCCGCTCGCAGGGCGTGCAGCATCCGACAAGTCTGAGAAGAGATCCGGATCCAAAATTTTCTTTTCTCCCTTTTTTCTGTCTATAGATAATACGCTCGCCCAGCCTTCCTTTCCATCCCATTAGGCAGCCTGGGAACGGTGGCGGTCAGAGGCAAAGCCTGCGAGGGGTGGTGGAACCACATGTCACGGCTACCGCCGGCTCGACCCCACGATAGCCTCCGGAGGCTGACTTTGAGGCACAATCATCGGACGACGTCGGCGAGTTGAGTCGCGCTCGCGGTAGCCAGATGACCTCTCATACTAGTATCATCGGCCATGGCCGCAGGAAGCGCGGGGGATTCCGCTGGGAGCAACACGGAGCTCCGTTGGACGCGTTTTCAAGATTAGCGTGTCAGAGTGAATTGGAACTAGCCTAGACTTCTTTTTTAGTGTCATATAAGTAAGGTAGGTAGGTAGGGGCAGGGCAGGGGCCTCAGGGCTTTTGCAGAATTTCATCATGAGTAGGTAGGTAGGTAGAAAGGTGAAGAACAGCCAGGCTCGGACTGGACACCAACGCGGTATGGGTGGACGCCAGACAGATGATGACGACACGCACGAGCGACACACAGACACAAACAGGCTCACAAGACACACAGCCAGCGGGCTGCCACACACCCTGAGTAGGCGTACACATAACTCAAGGCCACATCCTCCCTGTTGCCCCCCCCAGCACTCCAAGGTGCCAAGAGAACAAACAAGGGCACACCAAACAACAGACAACAGGAAGTGATATGCGAGGCTAGAGCAGGCTTGCTCTACCTCCAGCAATCTCTCCGGCCGGCGGGGCACGGACGAGACCGTGCGTGGGGTCTAGTGAGGTGTCTATGGTCGCCCTCCTCAGAGGCTAGCTGCCTACGGCTAGCCCTATCTCGCACTCACAGGTGATGACAATCCAATGTATGAGTGTATGCAAGCAGAGGCGCGTGTGCTAAATCTAGGCCGCACGTCGTGGCACTATGACGGAGGTAGACGTGCGACCGCAGCGCGCCCACCACAGTCTCGGTGGTGCGCGCGTGTTAGCGATAGAGTTGCGGGGAATGCCCGCCCGACTTTTCGAAGGCGAGCCCACGCCACGGATGCCAGCCGTGCATTCGCGGGAGTCGTCTCTCGAGCCGCGTCCCGTCGGCACTGTCCACGAGTACCCCCGCCTTGGCTTGGCCTGTACGAGGTTTTCCGGAAAACAAAAAGGAAAACAGAGGGTCCCCAGCACTTTGCGTTGCCGGAAATTTCCAGGGAAAACAGAGGGTGTTTGGTGCTCCATTCTGGAAACTCGCGAGTTTCCCTGAGGCCTGAGTCTGAGAGCTGGTCTGGGGCAAAATCTGAGGCAAAATTGAGGAATCGACAAAATACCCAGGCGGTCGCAGGGTAATTTCCAGGTCTACACGGGTTCTCCGCAAAATTCCCGGCATTTTGACGATTTGGCCTAAAATTTGGCTGATTTTGGGCCCAAACCAGCCTCAGACTCGGCTCAGAGCCAAAAATTTGACGATTTCCACGGAGTTTTCTCGGGAAAATAGAGAGGAAAAGAGAGGGTGCTGTGGAGAAAAAAGGAAAGGAAAACAGACGGGGTGCGAGAGGAAAACCTCGTACAGCCTAAGCCTTGGCGGCACACACTCTCGACCAGGACAGTATGAGTGCCGGCCGAGCAAAAAGAATTTTAGCAGTGACCACAGGGCTGCGTTGGCACGAAGGTTGCAGCGAGAATCGGAGAGAGACTGCGAAGTGAGATAGGAAGAGGCGGACGCCCAAGGGTGGGCGATGGCTAGCGCACCTCACCCCTCTCCTTAAAATCCCTGTGTGGTGGCGGCGTGCCGTCCTCCCATCCCTCCCTTGGGTTGTCGGGTTTGACGCATGGGGTCACTCCCGCGAAACTCGGGAACTAGCCGGGGCAGTCGGGAGAAGGGGCAACTCCGGGCACTGACGGTCGGCCGCCAGAAAACACGCCTGCGTGGATCGCGTCACACCAATCCTCGCTACCCAACGCGGCCAAAGGATATCCACCTCGAGAACCTCGAGAGGGTGCTCTGTTCTTTCTTGGATACCCATCACTGACCCCCCCTTGTCACCCCCCCCAGTCAGAAGAAAGTGAAAGATTTTTTACAAAACTCCCTCGCACAACCCTGGGCACGGGACTGTGGCGCACACACTGGCACTAACACAGGAAGAATTTCGAACACAGGCAAACTAGGGATGGGAAGAGGACAGAGTGAGGGCCCAACTTGAGAATCGTGCTTTGAGTTGGGTTGTTTCGTGTTGGGTGGGTTGTGGTTGGGTTGGGTTGTTCCGCGTGAGGTTGGGTCGTCGGCGCGAAGGGTGAGGTCTCGACCGCCGCCGCTCACGCCAGCGGACGGCCACTGCCGGTGTTTTTGGCTTCGCCACCGTCCAAGGCGTGCGCCATGCGCTCGCCGGCATCGAGCGAGCAACGTGATCGACCGAGCGGCTTGCTGTGTGGTCGCCTTCTTGTGGCTCTCGTCGAGAGCGTTTTGCGTCCCGGCGGGTGGGAGAATGTGTGTCGTCTGAAGTGTCACTGTGTGCGTCACATCGATGTGGATATTAAGCACGGTCGATCCGTCAAAGCGATACACTCGTTCCTATCACGCTGGAAGGCTTGCACGGAGCTCTGTGCCGGCACACAGAAGAGCCGTGCGGCAAGAAGAGCTCGATGGGGAGCGAGAACCGTCAGATTTTCAGGTGTAGCCTGAAGTCCGTCGCGACGCACTCAATCCCTCCCGAGCGAAAGCCTGTGGCTCTCTCGAACTCGTCGATATATTGCGAATAAACTGCTCTTCCCGCATAGCTTGCAGAGTCAGAGGCGCAGAAAGGCTACGAGTGTTCGACGAGTCTTGCGAGCTGCGCGGTCAAACCTGGGGGGGACTGACCGCATCAAGGCGGACTTCCGAAACCTGGGTGAGCACCTCTGGCAGTTCTCGCTCCCCATCGAGCTCTTCTTGCCGCACGGCTCTTCTGTGTGCCGGCACAGAGCTCCGTGCAAGCCTTCCAGCGTGATAGGAACGAGTGTATCGCTTTGACGGATCGACCGTGCTTGTTATCCACATCGATGTGACGCACACAGTGACACTTCAGACGACACACATTCTCCCACCCGCCGGGACGCAAAACGCTCTCGACGAGAGCCACAAGAAGGCGACCACACAGCAAGCCGCTCGGTCGATCACGTTGCTCGCTCGATGCCGGCGAGCGCATGGCGCACGCCTTGAACGGTGGCGAAGCCAAAAACACCGGCAGTGGCCGTCCGCTGGCGTGAGCGGCGGCGGTCGAGACCTCACCCTTCGCGCCGACGACCCAACCTCACGCGGAACAACCCAACCCAACCACAACCCACCCAACACGAAACAACCCAACTCAAAGCACGATTCTCAAGTTGGGCCCTCAGAGTCCCCACCTTGCTCCTTGCGGAAGAAGCAAGCAAGCAAGGGTCTTGGGAGGATGCCATTCGGGGGGAAGGGGTGCGGGGCACACAGCGCGACACGGAGAGGGGGTGGGCAGGATCCCCCACACAGGCGGGCCGACTTTTTTCTTTTTGGCCAAGATATGCCGCCTGACGCACTCGCGCTCATTCGGCGCGCCAAAGCCGAGAAGGCCAAGGCTAGCACTGCGCCGCCGCCGCCGCCACCGCTCCCATGCCCAACATTCTCCAGCATGCCACCACTGCCGCCGCCTCTGTCTTCTGCTCCGATGCCGTCAATCACCGTGGTGCGCAACTTCGTCTCGGCAGCGGACGAGGACGCGCTGCTCGCCAACATCGCCGCGGCGCCGGCTGAACGCTGGACCGGCGGGCGTCCGGGCCGCCGAACCGCCAACTGGGGCGGCCGGCCGGGCGAGCCCTTTGTGCGCGAGTCGCTGCCGCCATGGATCTCCGCCTTGGTGGACGCGATCGTGCGCTCGGGCCTTTGGCCCGTGGATACCATCGGCGGCCCTCCCAATCACTGCCTCGTGAATGAGTACGAGGCGGGCGCAGGGCTCACGCCGCACACAGACGGTGTCATGTACGCGCCACACGTGTGCACGCTCTCGCTCGGCTCCGACGTCCTGCTCGACCTCCACGCGCCGTCCGCGGCGGACGACGCCGAAGAAAACGCGCGACCGCTCGCGTCGCTGCTGCTGCGCCGCCGCTCGCTCAACGTGTACGCTGGCCCGGCCTACTCTGGGCTCTTCCACGGCATCGCGCAGAGGGAGCAGGATGTGCTGGACGAGAGAGTAATCAATCTCGAGGCGGAGGATGCGCCGGGGGAGATCATCCCGCGCGGGCGGCGATGGAGCGTCGTCTTCGTGCACAAGCTGCAGCGGTGAGGCGAATGCGAGGCGCCTCCCTTTCCCCGTTGTACTTGGAAAACTCGCCCGGGTTGCTTGGCCCCACGCCTATGACTGGTTGGTTGGTTGTGTCTGGCGTGCGCCGCAGGCGAGGAAATTTCCAACAATTTCTGTTTACTCAAGGGTCAAGCCTCAAGCGCCGGTGACAACCGCCCTTGCGCGTGGCATGCGGACGGTAAAATGCCACTTAGATTCGTAAAAATCGGCGTGCATCAACCGCATGGCCCCGCAGCCAGCCAGGCCCAGGGGCAGGGCCGGCCGCCCGATCGCGATGCGGGCACTATGCGGGCATCCTTTCGGCACGCACCCCTCATGTGTGAGTGTCGTGAGCGGGCCGCGTTGAAGGTGGAGCTGCGGTCGGAGCTGCACGACTCAGCATCTCTGTGCACTCTGGCCGACGTCGACGCACGCCGACTCCCCCCCCCCACACACCCCTACACGCGCTGGTCCCGCCGCCCGGACGCTGGCCCCTGCCGCCCTCGTCCTCGCGAAATCTCCAAGTCATAGGGATCGAGCGCCACCTGCTCGTCGTCCGAGTCTGTTAGGTCCTGCTCCTGAACGCGGTCGACTGGTATCGCCCGTGTCGTAGCACGCACCCTCGCCTTCCTCCTCCCCCTTGCCGCGTCCTCCGCGTCGTCCTTGCTCAGCTGCCGCCGCGCCGAAACGTGCAGCATGTGCGCGCGGAAGCGAAGTGCAGAGGCAACGAGCAAGCCGAGGCCGCCGCCCACCACGAGCATGTCCAGAGTCATCATGGCAGTTGAGCCGCGTGCCCTAGCCGACGATGCCGACGGAAACCGCGGGGCTGGTGGCGGCGGATGAACTGACGCAAGCATGAGAAATGGGGGTGGGGGAGCCAGCAGAGCCGCCATCGGCAGCGGCGAGGGCGGCGGAAGGACGCACCACCAGCACTCTTCAGGTGAGGGGCTGGGTGGTGGTGGGCTCGGATCGGGCGGGAAGGGGGACGGGGGTGGCGGCTGCGGCGACGGCGCCAGAGGTTTGGAGGGCGGCGGAGGCGGCGGAAGGGGCGACGGTGGTGGGCTGAATTGGCAGCCGAGCTCATCGGGGTCGCAACCCTCGCAGTCGGGCCGGTCGCACGTGTACATGGAGCACCAGCTCGAACACGGCTTCTGGTCATCTGTGCAAAAGTCACAGAGGGCACACGAGGTCTTGTCTGCCTGGCCGCCACAGAACGCCAGTTCATTGTCTGCGTTGCAAAAGGCTTCGCACCCGGCCTGGCCAGCGGTGGGCACGATCTTGTGTCGGCCTAGACGGCGGTCCAAACCTGTCATGCGACGCGCGCACGCAGAGGGGTGTCGCGAAGTTGCAGCGAGGGCGAGCACGACGCGCAAGAGCGCCCGCCGACTAGTTCTGCCGACTGACTTCCTGGGGTTGAAATCCTCGAAAAACCTTTTCACACCAGTGGGGAGGCCTACTGGATGAATTCAAAGCACCCCACCACACACAGCCAACAACAAACAAACCTAAAAATTTCAACAGGTACAGGTGCAGGTATTCTTTCCTTTTCTCGTGCGTTCCCTCTGAAGGCATCGGCGGATCCTCTCATTCCACATGGTTCGAACGACCGGTACGTGTGTACGTACATCACAGGGCATGAGAGAGCCCACATCCGGATAATTCGCACGATGTGCTCTATGGGTGACAAGAGGCGCGAGCTCCGGAGGCTAGAGTCCCGTGACGACTGTCACTTCAGGGTACTCTGAGCCGCTCGCGCCCCTTCCGGCTATGCCGGTAGGAGCCGGGGTAGCACTCGTATAGCAAGGCCCGTGGGGCACTCGCCACGAGGCCACTCCCATCTGGCTCGACACGAGTCCCACACACGTGTGCTATTCCTCATGCACACCGTGCGCGGGGACGCTGAGGGTGCCGTGATGGAGGGATGGGAGGCTCCTACCGGCACTTCCCCCACTCGCCCTTCCTTGCAATTACTAGAGCGCGATCTCGCCCAGCACATGGCGCGACGGGCCGTACGCCGAACAGGTGCCAGAGGCGACCTGTGAACAGAGAGGTGTGAAGAGGGCGTCGGCCGTCGCCGACCTCTCTAGATTAGCGCGTCGAGGACGCTGGCGTGGCTGCGCCACGCTCTCGATCATCCTCGCACATTGCCCTAGCGCTTGGCGTGATGGGCTAGTGCGCCGAACAGGTGCCAGAGGCGACCTGTGAACAGAGAGGTGTGAAGAGGCGCGGCGTCGGCCGTCGCCGACCTCTCTAGATTAGCGTCGAGGACGCTGGCGTGGCTGCGCCACGCTCTCGATCATCATCGCGCATTGCCCTAGCGCTTGGCGTGACGGGCTAGTGCGCCGAACAGGTGCCAGAGGCGACCTGTGAACAGAGAGGTGTGGAGAGGCGCGGCATCGGCCGTCGCCGACCTCTCTGGATTAGCGCGTCGAGGACGCTGGCGTGGCTGCGCCACGCTCTCGATCATCATCGCGCCCTGCCCTAGCGCTTGGCGTGACAGGATAGTGCGCCGAACAGGTGCCAGAGGCGACCTGTGAACAGAGAGGTGTGAAGAGGCGCGGCGTCGGCCGTCGCCGACCTCTCTAGGTTAGCGTCGAGGACGCTGGCATGGCTGCGCCACGCTCTCGATCATCATCGCACATTGCCCTAGCGCTTGGCGTGACGGGCTAGTGCGCCGAACAGGTGCCAGAGGCGACCTGTGAACAGAGAGGTGTGAAGAGGCGCGGCGTCGGCCGTCGCCGACCTCTCTAGATTAGCGTCGGAGACGCTGGCGTGGCTGCGCCACGCTCTCGATCATACTCGCGCATTGCCCTAGCGCTTGGCGTGACGGGCTAGTGCGCCGAACAGGTGCCAGAGGCGACCTGTGAAAAGAGAGGTGTGAAGAGGCGCGGCGTCGGCCGTCGCCGACCTCTCTAGATTAGCGCGTCGACGCTGGCGTGGCTGCGCCACGCTCTCGATCATCATCGCGCATTGCCCTAGCGCTTGGCGTGACGGGCTAGTGCGCCGAACAGGTGCCAGAGGCGACCTGTGAACAGAGAGGTGTGAAGAGGCGCGGCGTCGGCCGTCGCCGACCTCTCTAGATTAGCGCGTCGAGGACGCTGGCGTGGCTGTGCCACGCTCTCGATCATACTCGCGCTTTGCCCTAGCGCTTGGCGTGACGGGCTAGTGCGCCGAACAGGTGCCAGAGGCGACCTGTGAACAGAGAGGTGTGAAGAGGCGCGGCGTCGGCCGTCGCCAACCTCTCTAGATTAGCGCGTCGAGGACGCTGGCGTGGCTGCGCCACGCTCTCGATCATCATCGCACTTGCCCCAGCGCTTGGCGTGACGGGCTAGTGCGCCGAACAGATGCCAGAGGCGACCTGTGAACAGAGAGGTGTGAAGAGGCGCGGCGTCGGCCGTCGCCGATCTCTCTAGATTAGCGTCGAGGACGCTGGCGTGGCTGCGCCACGCTCTCGATCCTCATCGTACATTGCCCTAGCGCTTGGCGTGACGGGCTAGTGCGCCGAACAGGTGCCAGAGGCGACCTGTGAACAGAGAGGTGTGAAGAGGCGCGGCACCGGCCGGCGCCGACCTCTCTAGATTAGCGTCGGAGACGTTGGCGTGGCTGCGCCACGCTCTCGATCATCATCAGGCATCGCCCTATCGATTATAGCGTGACGGGCTAGTGCGCCGAACAGGTGCCAGAGGCGACCTGTGAACAGAGAGGTGTGAAGAGGCGCGGCGTCGGCCGTCGCCGACCTCTCTAGGTTAGCGTCGTCGAGGACGCTGGCTCGGCTGCGCCACGCTCTCGATCCTCATCGCACATTGCCCTAGCGCTTGGCGTGACGGGCTAGTGCGCCGAATAGGTGCCAGAGGCGACCTGTGAATAGAGAGGTGTGAAGAGGCGCGGCGTCGGCCGTCGCCGATCTCTCTAGATTAGCGTCGAGGACGCTGGTGTGGCTGCGCCACGCTGTCGATCATCATCGTACACTGCCCTAGCGCTTGGCGTGACGGGCTAGTGCGCCGAACAGGTGCCAGAGGCGACCTGTGAAAAGAGAGGTGTGAAGAGGCGCGGCGTCGGCCGTCGCCGATCTCTCTAGATTAGCGTCGAGGACGCTGGCGTGGCTGCGCCACGCTCTCGATCATCATCGTACACTGCCCTAGCGCTTGGCGTGACGGGCTAGTGCGCCGAACAGGTGCCAGAGGCGACCTGTGAACAGAGAGGTGTGAAGAGGCGCGGCGTCGGCCGTCGCCGACCTCTCTAGATTAGCGCGTCGAGGACGCTGGCGTGGCTGCGCCACGCTCTCGATCATCATCGCACATTGCCCTAGCGCTTGGCGTGACGGGCTAGTGCGCCGAACAGGTGCCAGAGGCGACCTGTGAACAGAGAGGTGTGAAGAGGCGCGGCGTCGGCCGTCGCCGACCTCTCTGGATTAGCGCGTCGAGGACTCTGGCGTGGCTGCGCCACGCTCTCGATCCTCATCGCACATTGCCCTAGCGCTTGGCGCGACGGGCTAGTGCGCTGAACAGGCGCCAGAGGCGACCTGTGAACAGCGAGGTGTGAAGAGGCGCGGCGTCGGCCGTCGCCGACCTCTCTAGATTAGCGCGTCGAGGACGCTGGCGTGGCTGCGCCACGCTCTCGGTCATACTCGCACATTGCCCTAGCGCTTGGCGTGACGGGCTAGTGCGCCGAACAGGTGCCAGAGGCGACCTGTGAACAGAGAGGTGTGAAGAGGCGCGGCGTCGGCCGTCGCCGACCTCCCTAGATTAGCGTCGAGGACGCTGGTGTGGCTGCGCCACGCTCTCGATCATCATCGCGCATTGCCCTAGCGCTTGGCGTGACGGGCTATTGCGCCGAACAGGTGCCAGAGGCGACCTGTGAACAGAGAGGTGTGAAGAGGCGCGGCATCGGCCGTCGCCGACCTCTCTGGATTAGCGCGTCGAGGACGCTGGCGTGGCTGCGCCACGCTCTCGATCATCATCGCGCCCTGCCCTAGCGCTTGGCGTGACAGGCTAGTGCGCCGAACAGGTGCCAGAGGCGACCTGTGAACAGAGAGGTGTGAAGAGGCGCGGCGTCGGCCGTCGCCGACCTCTCTAGGTTAGCGTCGAGGACGCTGGCATGGCTGCGCCACGCTCTCGATCATCATCGCACATTGCCCTAGCGCTTGGCGTG